GTCTAAATGAAAGTTATAGATCTTGTCGAGAGCTTTCCGTGGATACAAAGAACATCAAAAACGGGGTTCTAATGAAGAAGATACACAATTTTGAAAATCTAAAAAATGGTACACGTGCACGCTAGGAGCGCGACGCGCCCGACAAGACCACATAGCCCCACCACTTTGCGCGACACAATTTTGAAAATCTATAGTCTATGCACATCCTGTGCGACCCATCCTTTTTCTTAACAAACAAAATCAACGCTCTCCACAAAGAACTAATTGGTCGAATGAACCCGTTGTTTATCAGCACTTGAAGCTGTTTAGACAAAACCTGCATCCCTGGGGGCGCAAGACGATAATGTGTCTTGGCTATGGGTGCCACACCCATAATTAAATTGATTCTAAATTCTACTTGACGCTCCGGAGGCACACCAGGAAGGTCCTCGGGAAACACATCGGGGAACTCACAAACTATTGGCACTTCTGTCAAGGTTCCCTTCTTCTCCTCTCCGGTGTCGATTACATAGGCCAAGAATCCCTCGCATCCATGTTGTAGGTATTTTCTGGCCTTCATGGCGGAACTAAATGTCGACTTATTGGCAGTACTCTCGCCTCAAATGGTAAGTTCTCCCCCACTTGGAGTCCGAACTCTCTAATATTGTTCCTATTCCATCAGCCTACTCACAACCAGACATCTCTACCAGTTCACAAATTAGGCATAGAAGGCATCTCTCCTAAGCAGACATTCAAGCATGCAATCCTAAGCAGATCCTTATTCTAACTTCTAGCATGCATTTCTAACATATAACCAATACACATAAAATGAGAGTGGGTATCTTAGAGAATAACTTTCCTTGGGCTCGGGCTGATTGTACATATCACATCTTCTCTGTTGATCATTTTAAAATTAATTATGAAAAATATTTTGCAGATCCATAGTTTGAGTCTGGAATCACACAGGTGTTTATCCCATTCTCTCAAACTAGGGCTCTGATACCAGCTTGTAACATCCCAAAAATCATGATAAATTATTTCATTTTTATAAAACATTTCCACAAAACCATAAGATAATAAATCATCGTTTTCGATTCAATTCCATAGAATCAGAGTATCAAATAATCTCTCAAAACATAAATCATAAAGAGGATGCATACAATCATACCTTTGCCTTTCTCGGATAATCTGAAGTACCTGAAAAACATTGAAATCCACAATTGTAAGCCAAAGCATAGTGATTTCCCCTAATATACCCCATACAACAATATATATATATATATATATATATATATATATATATACACACACACACACACAATACACGCACACCGGCCCACAGTATAAATTGGAATACCCCCAGGACCACAATCATCAGACTGGATTGCCTCATCTAGGCCCACAACATTGGGCCCTTAACCACAAAGATTGGATTGCTCCCTGGCCCGCAGTCATGAAGATTAGATTGCCCCTGAGCCCACAGTCACAAAGGTTGGATTGCTCCCGGGTACATTGGCCTACAACACAAGAAGTGTCGCCTCAACCCAACTGCACTATGTACCAAACAATAATAAACAAGTGCATGTAATCATAGCAGATCTACCATTCTAACAGAACACTATAGCAAAACCATATCCTACACATACTACAATACAATGTATAGTCAGAAAACTCACCTTGCAACCTAGAAGATAACAGTACAGATCACAAATCCGATAACTAGCTCTACATGTCACCTATACAACAAATAGGGACCAAACCTCAATCTACAACCCAAAACCCTAAGTTTGACGTAAATTCAAACTTGGTAAAAAAGTCAACGGTCAAGTAAAAGTCAACACTTAAAGGTCATTCAGCTGGTTGCCACGTCGTGACCACCCATTGGTCACGTCTGATGGATTTTACATGCAATAATGCAGATAAAACCTTATACACTTAAGGGTACATGTAATATATTAGATATATGCCATAACACTATTGATGTAACATTCTATTGAACAACAAGAACCCTATAAGCCCTAACTATTTTTGAAATTCATAAACAAGTTAGGGATTACATACCTTTAGATTGTTATAGTAAACAATCAAACCAATCCTTCTTGAAAAACTCTTGGAAGCTAGCACCAGAAATCTCTTGCCTCTCATGGTTCCACACAAACCCTATCAACTAGGAAACTTGAAGAGAGAGGAGAATAGTTGGAAAAATTTCGGCTATGCTCATAGCAAATCTCATTGCCAAAATTTAGAGGGTTAAAGGTGTAACATCCCAAAATTCAAGACCAAAAATTTCATTTTTAATTTAAAGTTTCATAAAACAGATTACTAAAAATGTCACCAATGTTATCTCATATTATTAGAAACCATAAGTCAAATATCTTAAAAAACATATCATAGGAAAATAATGTCAGAGTACAAATCCCAAGAATCTCATGTGCGGAAAATCGTGTGTGTGATGCGCTGCAGTCATGCTGACTCCTTTCGCTTTGAAGAAGAGGCACCTGAAACCAATACTGTAAACCGTAAGCACGAAGCTTAGTGAGTTCCCCCATCATACCGCATACCATACAATAACATACTGTCAGGCATATATGGGTGCCTGACCTACCCCTTCGGTCTCTTTCAACCGGTAACCGCCTAGCATATCTGGGTGCTGGCCTACCCCTTCGGTCTCTTTCAACCGGATATTTTGGGACTATTTCACCCTACCACTACCACCTAATAACATAGCATACTGGCACATAAATAATAACAAATAGTGACATACCAGACAATTATCACAAATACAATCATCTCAACTATAATCACCTACTAGTGGGCCCATTGGTGCCTTAGACCCATTTCTACTGGAAGATAACTCACCTTGCAAAGCCGAGTGTCAAGTATCACAGAAGGGAATCTCTAAAAGCTGCTCCGATGACTCCCCGACTATCATGGAAAGGAATCTCTAACTTCTTTATTTTTATACACATTTCACCATTTAACTTGTTATATGTCTTCACATATTGCCATTGCCACCGACTATAGCAGGTGACAATGATAATATGTGAACAAATTAACAAGTTAAATGGTTAAATGTGTACAAAAAAAGAAAGTTGTCTAAATGTGAACAAAACGAAAAATTAATTACTCCGATAAGTCATTTTCTCCACTTTTAATAGCAATTTTATTTTTCATATTTGTTTGTATGATTTTTTTCAAACGTTATTTTTAAAATATCCATAATTTCCTAAATATTAATTAAATATTTATCAATTTTAAACTTTATTTTGTAATTAATAAATATGTTTTTGTTTTGTGAAATATTTTATATAGCCTCTTATATTTTTTTTACTTTATTTTGAATATAATAATTTTAAAGTAAATAGCATCTAACAATAAAATTAAGGGGAAAATACAAATCTAGCCAAAATCCTTAATTACTTAACAAAAATTAGTCAAAAAAAATCACTTAGCCAAAAATAGCCCACAAAAGAGTAGTCAACTGTAGGTTGACTACTGTTTCACCAAATCGTCTACTGTTTCGTTTTTGTATACTTTTTTTTTTCATTTTTAGGATACAAAACCGTAGGTTTTTTAAAACCTACGGTTTCCCCAAAACAGTAGTTAAAACCCCCCAAAACAGTAGATTTAAAAAAAAAACGTATTTTTTCACCCAAAACCGTAGCTACGGTTTGGGAAACCGTAGGTTTCGAGAGGAAACCGTAGGTTTTAAAAAACCTACGGTTTTGTATCCTAAAAATGAATTTTTTTTATACAAAACACGAAACAGTAGACGATTTGGCGAAACAGTAGAAGAATATCGAAACCTACGGTTTCGTGGGCTATAATTGGACATTTACTAATTTTTGGCTATAAATTGCTAATGACTTCCTTAATTTGGCTAGATTAGTAATTGGCCCTACAATTAAATAAATTAAATATGTAACAATAAGTATAGAGGGTCTTTTAAAAAATTAAGAAAAAAATATTACTTACCAAATAAAAAAACAAAAAAAAATCTATATAATGTAAATGTTTTAAAATTATTCAAACTTTTTAATGCTTTTTACTTAGAAGTTTATAAACTTTTAATTTTTTTAATACAACATTTTAAACTAGTATTTAACGAAAGTATTTTAAAATGTTATAAAAAAATATTAAATTGTAATACAAAATCTGTGAAACACTTTAAAAATATTGTAAAGAAAATTTAGAAATACATATATGAAAGTTATAGAAAAATTGTAAGAAAATATAAAAAAACAAGTAAAAAACTTGTAAGAGAATTCTTAAACATTTATAAAATATTTGGTTTAAAAGCACTTGTATTAAAATTATAGGAAAATATAAAAAAAGTTGAAAAAAAAATTATAAGTAAAGTTTAAAACATTGTATTAGAAAAACCTATAAGAAAAAAATATCATAAAAATGTTGTAAGAAATTATAAAATTTTTTAAGAAATTTATAACAAAAAATTGTTCCCATTTAGACAACTTTCTTTTTTTGTACATATTTGACCATTTAACTTGTTAAATATGTTCACATATATGTGAACATATTTAACAAGTTAAATGGTCAAATGTATACACAAAAAACGAAGTTACCTAAACATGAACAAGACGAAAAAATAATTACCCTCGTGGGGCATTTTCCGAGAGAACATTGGCCACATCCTTTTTTTCCATTCCTGAAGTATGCAGGGAATTCTTTTCTCACTTGAGTGGCATTATATTCATAGCCCCTATTACCGATTGCATGTTCTTAAAAACGTTTGTATTTGTGCTTCCATACTTGTACAACTCCCTATTTGTGAATTGTGTCCAACCATCTTTTTCTCAAAAATTTATTTGTCTAAACAGCTGACCATCAAGGATGACCTTAGCTATTTTGTGCTTCCAGTCTAATGTACAACTCTATATGCATTATGGTACAAGTCACTATACGTAGACGTTAACACTTGCATAATAGGGATACGAGATACCATCAAATCCCCAAATCACCAAATCGCCCCCCTTTCAATCCCCCTTCCTCCGTAAACAACAATGGCGATCGCCGGTTTGCAGAGACTCTCTTCTCAAATCTCCCGAAACCCTAACCTTTCTCTCTATTCACGCGCCATCATCTCGCGTTCATCTGCAACAACATCTTCATCGGCCAAAGTTTCAGATCGAATCGTCAAGCTCACAGCGTACGATTTCGACGGCCAAAAGCGCGAGATCGTCGGCCTCTCCGGTCAAACGCTTCTCAAAGCTTTAACCAACAATAACCTCATTGATCCGGCCTCTCATCGTCTTGAAGACATCGATGCCTGTTCCGCCGAGTGCGAAGTCAACATCGCTGAAGAGTGGCTCGAGAAGCTCCCGCCGGCGTCGTATGATGAACAGTATGTGTTGAAGAGGAATGCAAGGCATAGGATTCTGAATAAACATTCGAGGTTGGGGTGCCAGGTTGTACTCACGCAGGAGATGCAAGGGATGGTTGTTGCTGTGCCTGAGCCTAAGCCTTGGGACACTCCATAAGTTCAATTAGGCGTTTGGGCTCTTGGAAATTGAATAATTTCGGTCAGTAACAATATTCGCATACCTATCCTGGATTTGTTACTATTACAACTATTTTATGTTTTTTCATGTAATTGTGAGTTCGTCGAATTGACTCTTGTTACTTTTGTTTGGATCTTTTTGAATAATTTGATTTTGTCTCAGACACAACAATTCTCATATGCTAGTCGATTGATAAGTGATACTTGCTTATTTGGTTACCTAAATGTGTTTGTCTATATCGTGCTGAATGTCGCTACTTGAATGATATATCCATTTCCCTTGAGGTTAACTTGAATTTAGATTCTGGTCCTTCTTGAAGATTCTACTGCCCTAGTTTTGTTATCCTAGCATGCTTTTGCTTCTTTATTTTTATACATTGGGGATTAGATGGAGCTGAAAACCACCACCAGAAAACAGTTTTTTTGTGATAAAGATTGTTGTTTCCTCTACATGTTTAAATTCTTCGTCATCATGTGGCTCTTGAATCTACATGTGAGTTGTTTGGCTACACCTAAGATTCTTCATGATTCCTTAAAGCACCTTCTTCTGAACTGCAAAACCCACAGCTTATAGGCAGGAAAGATTTGTTACCATGAATTGGAATGACTTGCTTTCTCTTTGTGGGATTGGTCAATTAATAAAAGTAAGCAGTTTGTACTTTGAATCCATTGATTTAACATGATATCATCTAGTTTTTTCATCTCAAAGTTATAAGGTGGGCTTTCACTTTGACTTTATGTGGCTTCACCACTCATATGATGACTCTTTGGGATTCAACTTCTCATGGTTTTGTGGCTTCACCTGGTGTTTGGATGTGTATTTTGAAAATGATTATTGTGACTTAACGAATTACAACCAAATAATTAAATAATGAGTTGATTAAACTTTAAAGGTAGGGATAGAGAGTAATTTTACATTTATTTCGATAACCAATTTTTCAGAACTTGTGCCTGCTTTTCCAAATCTGATTATTTTGACCTTAAGTAATCAGAAAACACTTTTACTCAAACATTCAAAAACTGATTAAATCTTTAGTTAAAATGCACATCCAAACACATGCTCGATAGGTTTTATAGAAGTCCTTCATTTGGCTTCTTCGGTTGATTTTCCACCGTGAAAAAGCTTTGTGAAATATGATAATGACAGCAAATTGAACTTATACTCACAGTGTATATATGTTAAATTTGGTGAAAGATAATGACACCAAACTGCTGTTATGATTTAGGATTTAGGGTATGAGATATTTGGATTGGTGGGTTTCTGTCTATGCATCAAGAATTTGTTTTATTTGCAATTTTATTTCTTTTGAATATGTTAAATATGTTGAGAAAATGTAACATGTTTTCATTGTTTTATTATTTTATTTTATGTAGAATTTAGCTAAATTGTATTTTTTTTACAAAACATAGCAAGTTTGTTACATTAGTTAAATTGTACGTGAAGTGGTAAAAATGATAAGCGTGTAGTAAATGCTTAAAAACTATGTTGTATGAATTTGTAAAATAGTGAGTATTCTTTGAACTTTTTTGCAGTTAACCTTTATATATTTGATGAAACAAGTGATGAGTTCTATAAATTCATGAATGTGGTTTTATTTTTGTCTTCCATATTCTTCCTCTTATGCACTTTGAGGAAGCCTTAGAAATTTGAATAGATATTTGCTGAAATTGGACAATAGTCAAGGACTCCTTGTGGTTTCTGTTTATAGTTTATTACAAATTAAAACGTTGTAATTCTAATATATTTGCCACTTGTTATAAACTAAAATTAAAACATGCCTTGTTTATTTTAAAACAAAAGCAAAACTCAAGGTCATTTGAGTCCACTGAAGTAGTTGAAATGTGGTTTTGAATAACATAGTCAAATCGAAGTTCCCTGGTTTGACACCCCACAACTCAGCTAGTCAATATTAGAAAAGATCAAACCAGTTTATAGTTTAGTTCTTGATTTCACCAAACCGCATTTATATATACCATAAAATTGATTCATAAATGTATATATAGAAAGTTTAATTGGTTGAAATTGTGTTTTTCTAGACCGACTAACTTCTCTCAAATTCTATTGATTTGAACCTTCAACCTATTGACTAATAATGAATATATTTCAAACGCATGATATAGCAGAGTGCAAGTCCTTTGGTTGAAATTAATTTGACATTAGCTTCAAACTTGGCTAACCATATAATTGGATGGGTAAGTGTGAAAGAGTTCGGAATAAAACACTTCAAAAGAGTTGCTTTAAATTTTATTCATATATGCTTCAACTTTTGGGAAAGGTTTGCCCGGTGGCCTTTACATAAGAGATAAGACAACAAAGTTGGTTCTTATGAAGTTTACCCTCATTAACCAAAAGAGCCTGGCTGTTGGATTTTTTTTTTTTTTTTTTTCCATTTATAATCTTTTATTTCAAAATTTTAAAATGTGTTTAACCCCTAACATTTTACTTTTAAGTATAGATTGTTTGTTTTTGATTTGTTATTTGAAAATTGAACTAATTAATTTTCGAATGTACAGGTAAGTATATTTTAAACAATGTGAATGAATTATATGTTTTGATCTCTAATGTTTTCATATGATTAAATCTATCTCCACGCAATACAATGGAATCTGTAGAAATGATTAAATAGAAAAAATGGCAACATTGTTTTGGATCATATTATAGAATTTGATTAAAATTTTGATTAGAATTGTACGCATGAGAAGTCAGAACATCTTCAGTGGTTAACCTATATTATCATATAAAATTATTGTCACCTCATCATTCCATTAACTTTAACCTATAATAAAATATCACCTAATCTATCATTATCTATTTAAAATGTTCTATAAAATCTCCTCCATTTAATTAATCATTTTTTAAAAGCACATAATATTTTATAGACGTTGATAGCCACAAACGAAAATAGAAATAAAAGTATATACCGGGTCTTTATTTTATAAACATAGAATACGAAAAAAATTAATATGCCATAGTTATAAAAAGAGATTGAAAATATTATACACTTGTTATAAATTTATATTTCATAAATAAAATATCATTAAATATTCGATAGAAATAATTAACTAGTAAATAAATTAAAAATATTTAAAACTAAAATATAATTAAAAGGTAAAATGAAATATGATTAGAAGATGAGGGGTTAAATATACAAAACATGAAAGTATTTTGATTATTAATATATATCGAGTAATACAAAAAAACAAATAAATTATAGCTCCAATTGTAATAAGTTATAAATTGAATAAAACAAATAATAATAAGCTATAAGATAAGCTCCCGTTGGAGATGTTCTGAGATTATTTAATCAAATTATGTAAAGTAGTTTAATATTTTTTTATGGATAAACAAGAACTCGACCGAGATTCGTATTTTGATGATATTTTCTGTTGAGATAAACTACAAAGAACTTATCATTGAACTTGTTAATATATATGACTACAATTTACAACAGTGAAATTAGTTTGTAAACCGAATGGTATTTTAGGTATCAAGTTAGAATGGAAATTATTTACAATTTATTAAATTAATGTGGTTTCAAACCTTCGTAAAACTTCATATTTAGTATGATATATAAGAACATACTTTATAATGATATAAAAACATATTTTTTAGTGATATACATAAAAATGAATTTTAAGACCAAGAATGTGTCATGTTTGATATATATTAAGACAGATTTATATAATTATTATGTAGATAAAGATGAGACATTGTCAATAATATATTTGAATTTATACCCAGCATTATGCAATAAAAATTATGATAGATAATTAGATTTTGCAAATTTAATCAAATATAAGAACAACAAATTAAAAAACAATACAACTATTTGTGTCTTTTTATTATTATTATTATTATTATTAGAATGACATATCTACACTACTTCTAATACCATATATGTCTCCAATAAAACTTGAACCTTCAACCTTAAGGAGGGAGAACAACATCCAGTACCGCTGGGCTAAAAGCCATTTGTGTCTTTAATGATGCACTTTAGTAAACACAAGAATCATTCGCATAATTTAATCCAATTTTAACTTCGAAATTTAAAAATAATAACACAAAGCAAGTTTTGACACATCATAAAGTGTGCTATGTAGAGAAAATATGTTAATATAAAAGTATTGATTTTTATTTAGTAATTTCTAGATTACTTGACATATATCATCACCGACTTATTGTTGATCTTCATCAACTAAGTTCGGTGTTTCTTCATATTCATTGATTCAACGTTTTCTTCTTCATTGATTTAGATCAATGTCTTCTTGATCCTCATTGATTTAGATCATCGCCTTCTTTATCTTCATCGATTTAGATAAAAGCCTTACCCATCCTTATCGACTTACGACAAATGGCATGTCATTCACATTCTTTGATTTGTCTACCAGTGTTTACTTCATTTTTAAGTCCTATCTTCTTTGTCTTCATCAAAGTTAGGTCAAAACATTATAATGTTTGCAACCACACCCAAATGTATGATCAATATCATTTACAATATCCTGTTTGTTTTTTTGGTTGATCCTAGAATCAATACGAATCTCATAAACAAGTTGTTCATTTCGATCGAGCCAGATTTCAACTCCTTGTGTTTGTGTTGACCCTGAATTGTAACATCTATCGTGGGTACTTTAATAGACGTGCCATGGTTCTTTAAGATGTAGTACGGTGTTGCTTAGATATAGTCATATAATAATGTCAAACCAAGTTATATGCTAAATTTAAATAAGGGTACCCTTTAAATAATGCAGTAATTATATTTTGTAACAGTATATTATAAATAATAAATCAAACACTCGAAAGAACCGATAATCTAATTCTCATCTAAGCAAAACGCGTCAAAATATATATCTCGTGCAGTGCACCACTTCGAAACTTCCTGTAACTTTGGGTTGCCTTCTTATATATTATATTATTATATATCCCTCGTTTTTTTTACAACAAAATGTTCTGATCTAATTTTCCCATTTTGTAATAACATAAAAATTTATCGACCTACTTTTTATTCGGTTTTCAATCTCTAAGAACTTATATGAAAACAATAATCACGAAACGTTATCAAAGAATGCTCAAAACTACAGATAAATGAAGCCAATAAAATAGTCAAGATCACATTTAATCAATGACTTGTTTTGATTTATTCCAAAAAAAAAAACTTTTACAGTGTCCACATTTGAAAATTGACCCCAACAATTTACATCGATCACCACACAATTCACGACTTTGACGGACAACCATTCCATCCCTTTTTCTCACTTGTTTAAATACTCCATCTGATCTCCTTCAAAATTCATCGTTCTCGTGTTCTCGAGCCGATCCCGACCTGACTCATTTTCGGACTTCTTCTCCCTCCACCTTCCCTCTTCGCCAGTCCATCTCCTCACCCACCACCTTCCACCTCCCACAACTCCCATTCCTCCATGGATCTTTCCGATCTTCATCACCTTTTCCAAATGTTCGATCACAATGGTGACGGAAAGATCACAAGACAAGAGCTATCAAAGTCTCTTGAAAGCCTCGGGATTGACATTCCTGATCCTGATCTTGAACACATGATTGATCATATCGACTCAGATGGTGATGGGATGGTGGACATAGAGGAATTTGAGGTGTTGTATAAGATGATATTAATGGAGGAGGAGAGGGACGAAGAAGAGGATATCAGAGAGGCGTTTAATGTATTTGACAAAAACGGAGATGGGTTCATTTCGGTTGAGGAGCTTCAGTCAGTGTTGATGTCGCTTGGGTTGAGACAAGGTCAAACCATCGAGGATTGTCGACTCATGGTTAATAAGGTGGATGTTGATGGCGATGGGATGGTGGATTATAAAGAGTTCAGGCAAATGATGAAAGGTGGTGGCTTTGTCAACTTTGAAACCCTTTGACATTAATTTTCATTCGTGTGAACATTCTTTCTGTTACCATCTTGTTTGATCATCATGTATCTTTCCGAATTTCAAATTCAATCTAAGAATCTAATCGTTTCTTTCTTATAATTGTGTGGTTATAGTTGACTCGTGTTTGTGTTCTTTGAATCGTAAATCACTACTCAATTGGAACAAAACCATAATTGGAACCCAACCAACTTATAAATTTATGGGTCGCAAAAAGTTTTTGCAATGGTTAAAATTTATCAAAAAAATTGGAATTCAAAAGAATGGGGATATGAAGGAATTATAATTTATCACGTGTTTGATTGGTATAATATAAAACATGATTCAATCACATTACTTTATAATGATTGAGTGACGCGTGAACAATGGAAAAAAAAGTTGGAATGCGGTTTGTTTTGATGGGTTTATGAAGAAGATTTGATATTTTAATGAAAAAAAATGACCAATGGAATTCAATTTTTAGCATCCTCATCTATCAACAATGGAATTCGAGATTCCTCAGCATTCCACCAATATCCGCAAACCAAACACACACTAGAGTTAAACATACATTTTGTTTTAACGGAAGAAATATAATAAGCCCATTCTATTCAATGTATATTTATTATTCTAATAAATAAAGATCTATGCTGTGACATGTCAATATCTTTTTACACTTATTATTTTATGGTATTTTTAAAATAAATAATATTCACATGTTATTTTTATTATTATTATTATTATTTTTAGATTAAAAAGCCACATAATACAACAAGAATTTGGAGTATTAGGGACGTCGCTTTTTGCGACGACATAAGCAATAGCGGCGACACCAGAGTAGACGCGTTTGGTGTCGCCGCTAAAACATAGTTGTCGTCGCTAATAGCGTCGTCGCTAAAGATAATCACCGGCGATCCATCGGAGACACGCCACTTTCAATCCTCACCCTTGGTTCGGCAAATAATCCAACGGATAGGGTTTGTTCCTGTGATAAGGCATTAGAGACGACACTTTTAGCGGCGACATGTCGCCGCTAAATGTGTCGATCCGTTGACCAACCTTAGACCAGATACTGGCCCTACGATGCTTACCCAATCCAACGGTTGGGAATCGCCAGAAAGCGCGCGTATGCTTCCCTCC